GTGTACCAAACGGGACCTTAGTGTTGTTTCGAAGAAAATATTGCAGTAAAAAATTTGTGGCACATTTTTTTTCAATAGTCCATTTTAATTATTTCTCGGAATGTAAAAATTGCAGCGCTAATTCAGCCACTTTTAATTTTTAAATGTTGTTTCATCAAAATTTTTGATACAACTATGGAGTTTTTTTTTCAAAATGGGAGCTAATGTTTTTGACAGTTCAGTATCCGTTTTCCATGCTATTATAATTTTTTTTCAAAAGCGACACTATGACTTATTTTCTGATAATCATTGCAAGTTTTTGTACTAAATAATTTTTTCACAAATGTTTTTCTAGAGTGGGGCACTATAAATTACTTTTCTAATAATCCAATCATTTTTTAAATTACTTTTTAGATTTAAAATACTTCATCCATCTCAGAACGATTGCAACATTACGTTAAACGAACTAAATTTTTGAGTTTTTTCAATTTATTTTAGTTAAAGATTGGTATAGAAATAAAAAATAAAACTTACATATTTAAAAACTATGTCAAAAGTTCTACATAACAAGAGATGACAAAATATTTTATTTTATCAAATGATTAATCAAAACGTGAAAATAAACAAAAATTCTCATAATTTTTGAATAGTGAAGTGTGACAATTTTTTTGGAACGAAGGGAGTAGATAACAGTACACTCTAGTCACAATTTTTTTCTAGAGTGGGATTATTTCAGATACTTAGCTTTTTTTAGAATAACGTTACTCGGTACAATTTTTTCCTGAAATGGCACAACAAATGGTTTTTTCGTTTTTACATTAATGTTTTTCCTAAAACGACGCTACAAATTAAAGTTGTGAACCGTTATATTTCTAAAACAGACACAAATATTTTACAAGAGCATACTATTAAATTTTTTAAAAACATTATTTTAAATTTTAAAATTTAAAAATAAAATAAAATTGAATTCACGTCAAATAACATCACCTTTCATTTTGTTGTGCGAAATACTCTTTAAAAAAATTGTTACACAACCGTTAGCTACCTAATTGTGACCCGAAACGCACACATATACAAGTAAAAAGGTGAGATTATTACACGTAATATTGAAAGGTGGGATTTTTTTGGAAGAATGCCTAAAGATGAGATTATTTTAGATGAAAACATACCATATATCTACAAAATAGGAATGAAATGTTTTTATTTTTAGGACTTAAATTAATTTTAAATTTAAAAAACCAATTCTTTATCCGGATAGTCGTGCATCAACAAATTAAAGCTTTCTCAAACGAAAGCACCATGCTTAAAATGCAGAATACAATTTGATTATATGTGCAATTTGAAATGGACAACATATTTCTTTTTATTATTAACTTTTTAAGTAAAACATCATGCTCATTCGTCTCATTTTAAATTGTCTTTTTTTGTTTGTCCTAATATAAATTGTCTGTTTTTTATAATAGTAAATTTTTGAGGATTAAATATCTAAATTAGCTCTAAAATAAGTGACTCCTCTTGCCCTTATCTTCTCATTCATCGCTACTCTCATAAAAAAAATAAGGCATTTTTGAAAAGTCAACATAATTTGTAAAACACATAGTGTAAAATGAAGTTTACACTACCAATTTTTACACTATACCTTGGAGATGCTCTTAGTTTTTTGTTATGAAATCCTAAATGTAGAACAATAAATATTAGCAAGCTATCATTTGCTACAAATGTAGTTTATAAAGAAGTAGTGTTCCAAAACTTTTAACACTTCGTATCGACTCTGACCATTACTGTATAGAATTCCCTTATTGGGAAATCATATTAATTATGTAATCTTTCAGTTTTTGTAACATTTTCCATTATTTCAAACATTGACTAAGTATATGTAAATTAATAGCCGTGCATCGCACGGGTACGAGTCTAGTATATCTTACAACCGGTTGACGAGTATTTCCCGTACATCCACGGCGAGTGTTCTTTCACAAATAATTGAATGCTCATTTTCGAGTAAGTGAATACTCATTTTTGAGTAACTGAATATTCATTTCTCTAAAATTATGTTATGTTCGAAAATGAGCATTTAATTACTCAAAAATGTGTATTCTGTTGCTCAAGATAGAGTATTTAGTTACTCGACAATAAATATTCATGCGGATGTACGGGAAATACTGTACATTTGGATCTACAGTATAGGTACTCATGTGCAATCTACCTTCCATCATATACATCCTCTAACTCATTAAGATTTTTCCATTTTTACTTTTATTAAATTTAAGAGAAAGATATATTTGTATTGACTTTGTAAAAATATTCCTAATGTGATAAGTACAAATAAAATGTCATGAGTATATTATTAATAAAAAGTATGATAAAATATGTAGATAAAGAGTTAATTGGGTAAAAATAATATTTTAATTGAAACAGAAACAAAAAAAGGAAAAATGAGTTTTTGTGAGAACGAGTATATGCAACATTCCCAACCCCACGCGTTTTATTAGTCGTTCACGCAAGACATGCAGGCCTCACTCACGCATTTACAAATCATGTTGTATGCATGATGATTATTACCAAGTCCGCAAGTCTTTGCTTCCAATTATGTTACAAAACAAATGGTGAGTCCACCTAGTAATTAGGACTTGTTTATTTTGGGTTCGAAAATAGAGTTTGAAGGTTAAAAAGATCAAATTAGAAAGAGTTGAAATAAGCAGGAAAAAACTGAAATGAGTTAGAAAATTTTGAAAAAAATGGAAGTTTTAAAAATTATTTTTAGCATATTTTTTGAAATTTCATATTTTTATTATAATTTATACTACATTTATTTCAATTTTTGTCCTTTTATTTTTTATATCACAATATTTTTGTTTCAAACCATATACATGGTACAGGGTATAATACTTGTAATATTTTATAATTCACACTTATTATTTTTTCTTACATTTTTAACATCAATATCAATAATACAATTTTCAGTTTCTTAGTTTGCATGCCACTGATCCATATTCTTAAAATAGTAGATAAAGAGAGCAATATTTTTTCATGTTATCCCATTTATATGAATACGTATATGGGGACCCCTCCGTACATATATTGATACTTCCTTTATCCAAAAAAGAATTACACTCAGCATAATTCCATATTCACAATAACTTTTGTTTATTTGTACGGTTTATTGATTATTTGATTAAATAAAATATTCTTGTTGATCACCACTACAACTTATGATATACTTTGATTTTAAATATGGAAGTTTTATTTTCATTTATATACCAATCTTTAAATAAAATAAATTCAAAAAAATTAAAATTTTGCTTCTTTTTGCGCAAAGTGCAAACATTTTCTAACGCAGGGAGTATATACATACCCATACGGAACAATGAAATGAAATGAGAAATTATTTGTATCCCGGTCTCATTCCATTTTAAAATGATTCAGAAATTTTTTTCATTCCAAACAAAACTAAGCATTGTATAAATGAGACCGAGATATTTCAAATCGAGACTGTCATATTGAAATTTTTGTTCACTAGAGAGAAATTAAAGAATTTGTGACCGGATTTCACCAGCCCTATAAATAAGGCCAAAAATAATCGTGATTCTCAATGGGCCACTCTCTCCGAAAATAAAATACCCCGTATAAGAATAATACTCCCTCATAATATTAAATCCATGGCTTCGAAAACCTTTTATGGCGTTCTCACTCTCTTGATGATCATTACAGTATGTGAGTCTCTCCTGATAATTTAAAATCTTACATCCTTTAGATCTCGTTTGGTACACGAAATTCAAACTATGAAATTAGAATTGAGGACTTCAATTCTAATTCTCATGTTTGGTAGCACAAAAATTATGTGGATTTGAAATTGGCAGTGTAAAAAATGAATTGGAATTAGTGAATTCAATTCTATGGAATTGAACCCCATGGAATTTTAATTTCAATTCAATTCCAAATCCATCAATTCCGTGTACCAAACGGACCCTTAATGTACATTATATTATTACTTAAAATAGTTTTGTTATTCAGATCATAATTAAGGTCCAAATATACTAATTGAGTCTTTTCGAACACATATTTCCAATGGGTTCATCAGTTCATATTGCAACATTAACTTGCATTGAATTTTAATTTGCTAATTACTTTATTAAATGTTAGAAACTCAATTTATTTGTTTTTTTATAAAAAAAATCTATATACTACTCTCTCCGTCCCACCAAACATTACCCGTTTTGATGTATTTTTGGTCAAATAATTACACGTCTTGATCATAAATTAAATATAATCTAAATAAAGAAATATTATACTCCGTAAAAATTTGATATATCAAAACTAGATCCAAAGATTAATCCAATTATATTAAATTTACATTATAGTTCAGTATACTTTTCTCACAATTTGTAGTTAAAGTGCGTAAATTTTTTTACCAAATGCTATTTTAAATGAATAATGTTTTGTGAGACGGAAAGAGTATTACACTTTATAAAACTTCGACATAACTAAAATCAACCTTTTTCCTATTGTAGTTTTGCAATATTTCATTATTATATTTTTTTGAAATGACATTAACTTACGCTGAATTTTAGTTAGTTACTTACTTTATTAAATGATAAAAACTCAATTTATTTGTAATTTGCTTCGTATAAAATAATCTATTACTATTAGACTTTATAAAAATATTTGCTTTGAAAAATATTTTTTTACATAAGAATACTACTTGAAAAGTACTCCTTTCGTTCAAGTTGAAAGTTTTCATTTTGACTTGTGCGGTTTTAATGTAAAGTAAAAAAACAATTGGCTTTCCAACAAGGATAAAACTATTTCTACCTCATTTGTACACTGTAAGTGTGCAGCAACATTTGTGTTAGTGTAATGCTAATTTTGTTAACGCACCAACACTTTGTGTCAGTGTGAACTATAAAAATATTGGTACATATTTTTGATGTAAGTTTGGAGTACAAATGTTGGTGTAAGTGTAACATGGTCCTTCCAATAATGCCCCTCCCCTTTTATCTCTCTCTTTTGTCCCACACTCCCACCCCCACCCTTCTACTTTTTTTTGGAAAATGCTATGGGTAAACCAAAGGTATAACACATTTGTCCCCCACCCCCTCCGTTACCACTCAATTAGGCAAGAAAATTAAAAAAAATAAGTAAATAAAATTAAAAAATAAATGAGTGGTTATTGAAGGAGTGATGTACAAATGGGGTACACTCTAGCATGACCCTTTTCTTTGTCAGCCACCCCTGCACTCTTCTTCTTCTTTCTTCAATCACATTTAAATCCAAATGAGAAAAAATTAAATTTAGGAATATGTCATAGACAAATCAAAATTTAGGTTTCAGATCCAAAAAACTGTAAAATCATTAATCAAATATCTTCAACCTCAACCCCCATTACAAATCTTTCTTCGTCTTCAAAGAAATTGAAAAAGAGTAGATAGTGAGGGTACTTTGCATCCTGAAATCCTGAGGGCTGGCTAGCATACACGGTTTCCTGAAGCTGTCCATGGAGGAAGGCATTTTTGACATCGAGCTGATGGATGGGCCACCCACGAGACAACGCGAGGCTAAGGACGATTCGGACCGTGGCAGGCTTGATGACGGGGCTGAAAGTTTCGCTGTAGTCAACGCCAAAACGCTGATTGAATCCACGGACCACCCATCGGGCCTTATACCTGGATAGCTCACCGGATGGGCCAAATTTGTGTCAGAAGAGCCATTTACCGGTGATTATGTTTTGGTTGGGGGAGGGGGGTACTAGTTCCCATGTGTCATTCGTTAACAAAGCATTATATTCATCACACATAGCAGCATGCCAGTTTGGATCT